GGTGTTGAATTCCTCCCTCCTCTGCAATTGTGCAACCCAAACGCCGTGCCAGCGCAGGAGAAGCAGAATGAGGAATTTGACCTAGAAACTGGCAAAAATACAAGGAGGACTGAGAAGTGAAAAGGGGGGAGAAAATTGGTGGGTGGGTTGTGGGGTTGGTTTTTTTTTTTTTCCAGTATTCTTCTAGTGGCACTGACTAAAGTGTTGAATTCCTCCCTCCTCTGCAATTGTGCAACCCAAACGCCGTGCCAGCGCAGGAGAAGCAGAATGAGGAATTTGACCTAGAAACTGGCAAAAATACAAGGAGGACTGAGAAGTGAAAAGGGGGGAGAAAATTGGTGGGTGGGTTGTGGGGTTGGTTTTTTTTTTTTTCCAGTATTCTTCTAGTGGCACTGACTAAAGGTCATTTTTGTAACCCAAAACATCCTGCGCTTCGGATCAGAGTTAGAGTAGCACATTTATTTGAAGATGCTGCAGTGGTAAATTTGTTACCTTAGGGTGGGGTGATGCACGCAGACCCCACAGGTCCCTGCCCTCCCCAGTCTGGCCATGGGACACTGACAGACCTAGCGCCCAAGAGCTGCAGAAACCCCCAGCTATGTCACACCCCCCACCCCAAAACAAGGTGCAAAGAGGTCTCTGGGGTCCATCCCCAGTTTGATCCCAGATGAGGGGCAGATTGACTGCTGAGAACTAAAGCCTCATGGTCTGGTGCCTCCGGCCACCTATAGCATTTCCCTGAAGAAGCCATTTCCCAGCAGTTTGTGTTGGGGACACGAGCAGAGACACACAGGTCAGATCAAATTTGGGTTATTGCCCAGGAGAAGATGAAGAAAAGCAAATGCTGCTTCTCTTCCAGAGCCCACAGACAGCCCGATACAGAGCTGCCCGGGCCCAGCAGGCACATTCAGGACTACCTCTTTCTCCTCTAATTTTGTTTTAATGGATGTCCAGGAATATTTAGCACAGAAGCTGCACCTTCTTTACAAGAAATGTAATGGTATGATATGGTAATGCATGGTAATTTTCCCAAATGCTTCCATAAGAGCAGGTCTCAGCTCTAACAGGGAAGAAGGGAGAAAGCGTGGCCCAGAGATACAGCCCTCTTGTGAAATACAACAGTCCTATGCTTGAAGTTGGTTTTTTTTTTTTTTGGTCAGTCCATTAACGCGAGAGTGTGAAATAAATACTAGACTAGACGTTATTTTAATTGTTAATGGATTGATTTTCAAAGGCTGAAGGAAGGACGGCAGTAAATCAGTGCGGGAGGGCCCAGCTGGACAGCCCAGGAGTCTGTGGGAAAGAGAGTTTGCAAATTCAGCTCCGCTCCTCTCTGCTGGCTCCCACCCCAAGAAACGCACTTAGCCCTTCACATACTTATTTTATGTCAATCCAGTGCAGCAAATACAGCATGTTCCCCTATTTATCTTGTTGCAGTGCTTATTTTGACTCAACACAGCCTAGTGTTTTGGAATGACTGCTGTATAAGGGGATCAAGATTGCCACCTTGAACTACTGACAGACAAGGCGTGTTTTGTGTCTGGGACAAAAAAACTCTTCCAAAAATTCTCATCTCCATCCATCTAGCATCTTCACACTGTTCAGCCCTGTCCTCATGCACAGGATCTTCATGCTGCACCTCCAGCCCCAATCCTGATTTCACCCCAACCCTAATTCAACCATGAAGAGATCTGTCCTTCCAGAACATCTCCTGGCTATCTTACCTTCTGCTCTTCTCAGGATCCCTGGGATGAGAGGAGGACAGACAGTCATCTCAAGAGCAGACTTGCCAGATTTTTTCTTTATCTTCACCATGTCCATTGGGGTCTACGCATCAAGGCTGATGAGGAAGGCCATCAAGATTTCATCTGTGTGACCCAAAAGGACTTCTCCCAGCCTATTTCTTGGAAAAACAGATCACCTCTCTTGCTTGAAGGTTTCTATGCAGAGAGAAAGGTAACGAAAGCCAAAAAAGAACAAGCCAAAAATACAACCTTTCTTCCAGGCGATGATTGCCCAGAAAGCACGCATGAAGGCAGCAGATGACATGCTATGAATAGATGCTGGATTTACAAGAAAGTTTCCAGAACATCAACATGCAAGTCAAACACAGTCATGGTTCAAATACCTTTTTTTCCTCCCCCTCAACCCCACTTCCTATCAAACATCTGCAAAATAAGATTCAAACCGAAAATACACAAAAGTTTTTTTTTTAATGGGCTAAATAATTAAAATAGCCATAAAAAAAAATTAAGATTTGTCTGAAAATGAGCTTTGTGCATATTTGGAGTTTGTGGTTTTTTTTTTTTTTTAATTTTTCAGAAGCTTTATAATATAAAGAACCACAGCTGGGGCCCAAGCAGGCTTGTTCTCTGCTTGGTTAATGGATATATCTCAGCAGATGCAGGACCCTGGGCTCTCCCCGCATACCTATGACCTATCTATCCCCAAACTCCCGGACCATCGGTACAGTCTATCCAGTTGTGGGTGAACAAACTGTATCTATTGCAAGCTAATCTAGTTCTACTGCCAATAATTACATCTACAACCGTTTCGACCAGGTTAACTTCACAGACACTGTTCCTAAACGCGGAGAATTTTTGCTGCTTTTGCAGAAAACAGCCCACCGCCACCTGCATTTTATAATAGCAACAACCCACAGGCTTTTTGCCTTTCCTTTCAGGAGGTGAAGACTTCTGCACGGCAGAGCTGTTTTGCCACCTTGAGCACAGTTTGCCAATCTGTTTAATCGAGGCCATCATGAGCAGAGAATTAATTTTGCGAGATGTGAAATCATTTCTCACATGAGAAACAAGCGCCGGGGCTGGAGAGGAGAGGGGAGAAGGCTGCAGGGGGGTCGGGGTGGGGGGATGCAGAGTGTGCTGGAGAGGCTGGAAAGCAAAGGGTCAGAAATGCAGCCATTGCTCCTGGGATGATGGGCACCTGCCAACCACGTGCCAAAGGCTAATTAGCTAAATTTGCACCCCAGCCACTGATGGCGGGTGAAATTTCTTCTTTGGGCATTAATGATCACACATAAATTCGGCAATGGAGAACAGGCAGAAACAGGGAGACACATGGCCTCGTTTCTCCCACCACTGCCCACCCCATCAACGCTGAAAACATCGCTGGTTAACACACACATCCGCCGCCCTTCAAAACCGACGTGCGGTGCATTACCGTTGGTGAACCCACTCATTTCAAGTGCCATTAAACTGGGCTCGAGCTGTTTGGTAGGATGAGAAACAGATGCGACAGGCAGGTAGATTTGTTCTTTGCTGTTAAACATTTGTAAAAAAAGCACAAAAGGTCTTGTTTTCCACGATCAACTGCTCACGCTTTTCAGTAGTCAGCTGTTGGCTGCTCAAATCCCCCCCTCCCCCCCAGCATTCCCTCTGGTTCCCCATTTCACCCTCTTTAGCCTTGGCCTCACAAGTGGTTCCCTGAGCTCTCTGCTCCCTCTCTCCCAGCTTTCTGGGTTTGTTTAGCATATGTACAAGTCAAGGAAAACCCAGCCGTGGCCTGCCCAAGGCCAGCGTTACCAGCAAGCACTGGGAGGTCCTTGAGCATCGCTGTTCCCTTCACCGGGTCGGTGCTGAGCAGGCAGAGCAGCACCAGCAGGCACTGCATCTTCCAGCAGACAAAGATAAAAAGAGAAACTGCATTACAGCTAGAGAAGTTAGAGCAGGAACTCTTTTCCAGAGCTGGAAAATCTGCAAAACAGACATGGAAAGTGATGTCTAGGACGGTCAAGCTATGGAAGAGCACAGGGATGTCACTGCTTAGCCCCGCACCAGCTCCAGAAGAGCAAGAGATGTTTGGTTCAGTGTATGAACACTGTTTTACATAATATCACAGAGCTATGGCAAACAACCAGAGCATCAGAGAAACCGGCAGGAAATAAAGAATGAAAAGGCATAGCAAAATGAAAAGAAAATGGTCTCCTGAGCCCCAAAGCCCACTTCCCCAGAGTCGCCTCTACAAGAGGATTCAGCAGTCCTTCACAGAGACGGTGGTGACAAATTCTGTTCCTTATGTGAGGTTATAAATCACGTA